AGTTAGGTGCAGTAAAAATATTTAATCAACCTTTAAAAAGCACCAAAACCTTTTATAATCTTATTTTACAATCACTTTTACAATCCTTATTTTATATTAATACTACAGTAAGGCAACAGTGCGACAGTGACTGTTACTCCAAAGATACCAGATTTGTCTCTTTTGGGCTTACTGGACTTGTGCTAAGCACAGAGCAGTGCATTATTTAGTGGCCTTCCAACTGTTAAGACCTTCTTGTGAGCACTGACATTGATTTAGTTTTGTTATTATGTATGTGGTTCAACTCTACCACCTCTTCAGGCACTACCTAAGAATACAAAGTAGCTTCAGGAGAGTATGATACAGTGTGAATATCTTTTAATGTATTACTGCTTGGTAATTTTAAACCAAAACACTAATTTTAGTGTTCTTTCCTTTTCAAAATATCATTCGAAATAAAAAGTCAAATCTCATACTCTGCAACAGTTTCTAGTCTACTGTCTTGTTTTGTTCCATACAGGTTTTGGATTTAATTTATCTTCATAATATTTGACTAAGATTTTCCAGAAGTATGTTAGGCAGTATGTCTGTCTTGTTATCTTCTTCATCTCTTGACAAATATAAATGTTTGTGTGCAAACATTCTTTGCTTAATTAAGAGGAAACAGTTGTTCTTCTGTGTTTTAAAGTTTTCTTCAAAATCTTTGTATTTATTAAGAAGTTAAAATTCTTCCTCATTATTCCAAAGTCAAAATTAAAATGCTTCACTTCTTTGGCTTATCTAAAAATACAATTGTAAGAAAGTGAGTTGTCAGTATCAATTTTATTTGGTTTATGTTTCTTCCTATTACGTTTATCAGGACAGTATTGTGACCGTATTTGTTGGTCTTGAAATTATCTATTTAATTTTATAAAACACTGATGTTGCTGAACTGATTATAGTCAGCATTTCTAATGTGTTTACTATGCAATAAAAAGTAAAGTGGTACCACGAGGTAGCATTTTATAACAGGATCTTGTATTTCCTGCCAACTCTGACTTCTCCCTTCCGTGATACTGGCTTTCTGACATTTTTAATTTGGAAGGGAATATGTTGGGTCTCCTTTTCTCTTCCTACCGTATAACCTTTCTGGCATTATTACACCCTGACTGGATTCACTGAACCTAGACTACATGGATAACATTGCTGCACTTATTCCTTTATAATTTTAACTTTCATTTTGTAAAAGTGTCTTGAACCCATGGTGGTGGGTCAGCCCAGGCCAACGGCCAAATGCCCACCCAGCTGCTTGCTCACTCCTTCTCCTCTGTGGAAGAAGGGGAGAAAGTAGAATGAAAAATCTCTTTGGTCAAGATAGACAGGAAGAGCATTTGCTGATTACCATCATGGACAAAATAGACTTGACTTAGGGAAAATTAACTAATTCTATTGCCAGTTAAAATAGATTTGGGTACTGAGAAACAGATGAAAAAATTCAGCCACGATCTTTCTCCCACCACTTTTCCTAAGCTCACTTCTTCATTCCCACCTCCTCAGCTTCTCCCTGAGCCGTGCCCTGCGGTGGGTGCGTCAGAGCCACTGGAACTGGCTGTGTCTGGCACGGCACAGCCCCGGTATCTCCTCACAGAGCCCCCCTGCAGCCCCACTGTCCATACGGGGATACCCAAACCCTGTACACAATTGTCACCCTCCTGATTTCACATCAGGGCATTTGTTAACTCCATGTGCTGCCAATGCAGCAGCATTGACTGCCTGCAGCATATTGACTTGTTGAATTTTTTTCAGCCATACTACTTGGCCTAAGCTTGGATTTTTTTTCAAGGATCAGGCCAAATGTCTTTCCACTTCTCGGACTAAAGAAACCTTTATGTAGGGGTCAGAGATTTAAACAACTTGTTATTTTTTTAATTACATAAACCTCAGAACCTGATTATACAGAAAATTATGAAGTAAAGCACATCGGTTGTTTGAAGTTCTTATATGTAATTTCTTAATTATTTACTTTTTTAAATAGAATAATTCATTATTTGTCTAATTTTTACATTTACTCATAGAAAATATTTCCAATTAGTCTTTGTTGATCATAGATTCCAAAATTCAGTGATTCTGTCAGTACAGTGTAGAAAAAATTGGTTTACTGTCTTTTATAAACATTTTGGTCACATTTAAAAGCATTTGATGTAATAGTGAAGGCTTCATTGGAATTTAGTTTAGCACAAGTCATGAGGTGGTGTGGCTGGGCTACAAGGAGAGCATCAGTTCATTTCAAGGCCTGGTGCAGATACTAATGAAGTTTAGGAAGACCAATTCAGCAACTGGAGACAGAAAAGTGACGGCAGTGTAATTTAAACATATACAATTTTATGCTAAAAGTTTCTTCAGTTTTTATCATGGGTATTTTCCCTCTTAGATTAGTTTATATAGAGATACACTTATAGATGAAATACATAGAATTTCTTGTATTTGTGTTTGAACTGTGTTTTCATGTATGGTCCAATATGACTATTGTAACAGCCTGTTTCATTTTTTGAACATAGAATCATAGAATGACTTAAGTTTGAAGGGACCTTAAAGGCCATCTAGTTCTATCCCCCCTGCTATGGGCAGGGACACCTTCCACTAGACCAGGATGTTCAGAGCTCCATCCATCCTGACCTTGAACCCTTGCAGGGATGAGGCATCCACAACTTCTCTGGGCAACCTCTTCCAGTGCCTCATCACCCTCACAGTATGGAGTTTCTTCCTAATATCTAATCTAAATCTCTTCCTTTTTAGAAACTGTTTCCCCTTGTCCTATCACTAATTGCCCATGTAAAAAGTTGTTCTCCCTCATTTTTATAAGCTTTCTGTAGGTACTGGAAGTACCACTAACAGGTCTCACTAACTAGTGAGACTAACCAGTCTCACTAACTTCAATTCTCTGTGCCTGTCTTCATCGAAGAGGTGCTACAGGTCATCTTCATGGCCTCCTCTGGTCCTGTTCAAACAGGTCTATAATCATCTCCCTCAACCTGCTGCCACATTTCTTTCAGCACAGCCCAGGACACAGATGGTTTTCTGGGCTGTGAGCACACACTGTTGGCTCATATTCAGCTTTTCATCCATGATAAAACCCAAGTCCTTCTCTTCAGCACTCCTCAGTGACTTCTCTCAGTCTGGGATTTCTAGTTTGATGTATTTTAATTAAATTTGGACTATTGAGCTTTACCTCTCTTAAAAATAGATTCATGATTAAAAAACATTCATGATTAAAGTAAAAGTCCATAATCTTCAAATCAGACACTGAAATTAAAAAAAAGATCTAAGTACTGCAGAATGTCAGAAGTATTTAAAAATTATGTTGTAGTTGAACCTTGAATAAAAGATTTGCATACACATTTGTATGTGTATAAATATATTTATTTATATATATAAAAATTAGACATATATGTATGTATAATAGTCTGAAGATAAAGGGAAAAACTGTCTTTTTAACAGTAACAGGGTAGGACTAGCAGAGCTAGAAATCATCTTCAGTCCTAAGTAATAAATGATGTCTAAAATTCTGCAGGAAACAAGGGGCAGAGGATTTCAAGAGACATAGTCTTCTTACACCTTAGAACAAGACATATTGGTTTGCTTTGTAGCCCTGTCACACTTTTGTATGACTTTAAAGAAGCATTCTAATTTTGCTGTACTTTTGTTCCTGGTTACTCCTATTGTAATATCTTGAGATGATTTAATCAGAAATCAGTGATCATAATTTTTTTTCCTCAATGGTTTCTCCCAGAATGAACCTCAGGTTCTCTTTTAATCAATTGTCCACAAAATCTTGACTTGAGTACAACACTCGGAATTCTGGGGGTGAGTATGTAGCACTAGCTGTTTTTGTAGTAAATCATTTAAATGCAGATTGAGCCTCTGGAAAAAAAAAAAAAAAGGAGAAAAAAAGAAAAATGCTTCTAAGTCTGTATGAATGCTCACGTTACCTGTTCAGGGTTTTCATCTCCATCAGACATAAACTGAGTGTTTTTATGTAGGTGAATACGTCAGTCTCTGGGGTAAGCATTATTTTAGGTACACAAATGGAAAAGTTATAATGTTTGAGGTAATCTTGCATCTCACGATGTTGACGTTTTGCTAAAATAGTGGTCTGAAACAACACAACCACCAGCTTCCTCGAAATACATTGAACCATTAAATGAACCTATGGAAATTAGTTTGCTCCAGTTGGTTTCTTTTCTTCCTAATACATGCATGCTCTGGTTGTGCTCATATTAGAGGCCACAAGCCTTAGCATCCATTTCTGACAACCTGGATCCAGGTTGCAGAGCATGAGTGCAGGCCAAGTACAAACCAAATTCAATACCTGTTTCCTGGGAGGCATGGATATGAAACTGGAGAATACCTGTGCCCTGTAGTAGGAACTGAGTTCCCTTAGAGAAGTTATTTGTAGTTCTGCATTTAAAAAGGCACCTTATGTAGTAGCATGTCATGCTTCAAAGTAAATTCTGATAGTTTAAAACATATGGGGATGTGGGGTTGTGTGTGCACGTGTGTGTTCCCTTTTGGTTAGCAAATCCTCACAGACAACAAGACACAAAAATCAAGACTATATTTGAAAAACCAAAGTGTGCTTAATGTGTTACCTGAATCAATCAAACCAAATACTTAAGATATATCAATGTATCTTAATGTGTCTGTCTGTATACACACACAATGTGTTATATCTACATAAACACATGTTTCCCTGCTACCCTATGGCAGTTTTATAAAATCACTTTGTGGAAGTTGTGTTCAGCTGGTATATAAAATCAATTTGTCCAGCAAATTATTTATTCAGGTTGTTCCAGGTTGGTCTTATCTACTCTTTTACATCGTTGGTGTGGCTTGAGCCAAAAGCTATTCTACATTCTTACTCAGAAATGTGTATACTGAGTTTATTATAGATTAACAGGAATGTTGATTTCATTGTAAGGAATGTTCTTTCCATGAGTGATGGTTCTTTGGTTTAAAGTAGCTGTTATTTGTCACACTGACAGGTACACCTACTGCGAAATGCTGGCGATGAAGTTACCATCACCGTTCAGTACCTCAGGGAAGCTCCATCATTTTTAAAGCTCCCATTAGGTAAGAGGAAATTAACGGATAGGAGTAATTTGTTTTCCTCTTTGCCGTATTCTCTTAATAAACTGACAGTGACAGAAATAGGAATTCAATCCTTGAGTGTTTTACAGGAAGAAGTAGAAAATTGTCTGTCTACTTTACTGTTTAACATATAGTAATCTAATGCATACTGCCTTACTCTTTATGTGTAATTTATTCAAAATAAAACTGAAAAAAATTCATTAAAATGCGGTACAGTCGTGGGTGATATCTGAAAGTTTTTCAACAGAAACTTTGCCTGAATACAATAAAATAGTGTTTACAAACATTTGAATCATACATTGACCTTGAAAGGTACTTTCAGGACACCAAACAAATGGATAACATTAATTATGTATATTTCGTAAATTACTTTACTATTTTGATTGGTTTTGTCAGAGAGCAGAATTATGATGTGACAACTGAGTAGTTTAACAGTAGCAATACCAAATTGTGTATGAACAAATGCAGCCAAAGGAAATTTTGGGTTCTTCTGGTTAGCAGATAAAATATTCAAGTTGCACAGTTGTGATCAATGTTGCAGGTAGAAAAGTGTTCATGTCAGCTGACTTAATCAGACCAAATAATTTTGCACCAGTTTATTTTAACAGATTATTCTCCTTCCAAAATAAGCAAAAATATTTGAAATGTGTCTTGTTCTTTGGATTTATTTAAGTTGGGCTCAACTAGGTACTTGTTTTTTTCCTGATTTCAACAGAATCATAGGTGTCATAGTCTAGCTCTTACCATTACAAGAGCACTGGTTGTTTCATCTGGGTTCTTACACCAGTAAAAAGCCAACTTGACAGGCCTCTACTAAGCTGATCTATACCTTTCATGCTAAGACCTTTATTTCAGTTCTCACTGCTTATCATTTGCATTGGAATATAAATTTGAAGAAATCTTATGTTTACATTTTGAGATCTTTGTATAGTCAATGTTTCTTTTGTTTTCCTACTTTTCCTACTAGGTCATAGGACTAATGTCTATAATGCCTTGGATAACTGTGTCCAAGGTTAAACATGGTTTTGCCAAGTTAGCAACATCTTACTAGTAGTTTCTGTGTTGTTGGACATATTAATTTGTGGTTATGATAGTCCTACTAGCACTTGTATCTCATCTTGTAAATTGACATCACATACTTGAACTGTATCACTTTGTTAACCTTGGCTAAGAGCCAAACTCCTACTCAGACTCTGTTTCACTCCCTATCCTCAAACAGAACATGGGGAGAAAACAGAAAGACAAACCTCTAGGTCAAGATAGATGTATTAAGATCACTTACCAATTACCATCACGGCCAAAGCAGAGTCAACATGAGGAAACTTAGGTAAATGTATTGCCTATTAAAATAGATTCAGGCAGTGAGAAACAAAGACAAACAACACTGTCCATCACCTTCTTCACTGACCTTGAAGTTCATTTGATTTTTTTTTTCTCACTCTTTTCCTTACTCCTGTCACTGCTCTTCTGCATTTTGCCCTTTCTTAAACAGTTTCCCAGAAGTGCTACCAACTAATCTGCAGGACTCAGCTGTGCCCTCGAGTGGATCCGTGGGAGCTGGCTGGAACCATCTGTGTCTGGCACAGGGCAGCCCCGACTATGTCCCACCCCTGGAAACACCCCAACCCCCAAAACCTTGCCACTAAGACCCAGTACACACTCTGTGTGAGCTGGCTGCCACCCTCCTTGCAGGTCCAGGAATATTGGTGCCCTCTTTGTACATCATGGGTGTCACTCTCTGGATTTTTAGCCCTAAGCTGTCCGGAGCGGTTACTTTTTTTTTTAAGACTTTTTAAAAGCCTTTTGGTTTGTTATAACCTCGAATTTGTGTCCAGAGAAAAACTACACATTTTTGTCTAAGAGAAATTCTTTTAATTTAGTGAGAAAAATAAGACATTTTGGCAAAAGGTTTTACAGGAGTAAAATACAACCAAGAAAAACATTCGCTAAAATACCCAGCACAAAGACCCATTCCACAGAAAACATCCATTACAAACAATCAATATACTAGTTTTAGTAAAACACAAATCATTGGTTTTAAGTTACCCATAAGAGAAGGAAAAGAGTAACAGAAGATTCACTGCTGCTGGGAAAAGTCTTCAGGACATTTTATGGTAAAACAGGCTGTTTTCAAAATTTTTCTATTTGACAGTTATACTAAATTATCAGAATATTCTGAATTTGGAAAGCTTGCAGTGTGATTAAAAATCATCAGTTTCATTTGATTTTAATTTTGTCTTTTGGAGGTTGCCTATGACATGATTAGCAAGTTCAATAAATGAGTTTTTATTTATATACAAGATGTGTCCAGTATTATTCAGTAATGTTAACCACAAGACAAATTGTTTCAAATAGTAAAGTCTTACTGACTGCTTGCTGTACATTGATCTGCTGTAGTGTGTTTTGAGGGTTGTTTGTTATTTAGAGATTTAGTGTAATTCACGGACTGAAATAAACACCCCCTTGTTGAGGGGACTCTGAGTTGACCAGAACTTTCATAGGGATCTTTCTAGGTCTCGAAAGCCTAAGGCTTTTGAAGTTTTATTAAAATAAGTAGTAGAATGTCTTACTTTTTAAACTGAAAAATTGTAATGATTCTTTCTAAAGGATTATAAAAGGATTTTTAAACAGCTCCTACTTGTTCCACAGTAAATGTGTTCTTGTTTCAGGTTTAGTGTCAGCTAACTTGGTGATTTCCTGAGTTACTGCTGGTTCTTCAAAATCCCCTGTGATCCGTACAAAGTTTCTTTCCCTCACCATGTAGTTCTGCTTTTTTTTTCATGCTACCCCCTGGAGTGTCTCAGTGTTGTGAACTACAGACTCCCATATCCTTGCCATCTCTCTGTCTCTCTGACCCCTTCTCACTTTGCAGAGTATGTTGTATGGGTTTGCTTTTTTTTCTCTGAGCATACTCAGCTATTGCTCAGGCAAAGGTAAAGATCAGGCAAAGGTCTTTTCCTCTCCCACAGGATACTTCCCAACCCAGCTCTCTTAAAAGAACAAGCCACAGATGAGAATAAGCAAATCAAACAGATAATGCCCGTCCTAGAGTAAGTTTGATTTTTCTTAGGCTGACTGTCTATGGTGGAATAAGAGAACATCTAGGCAGTAATGATTGCTGGAAATCTCACAACATACCAAATACCTTTTTTTCTGACATCAGTACCCAGCAGGACACTCTATTGTGGTCATGGAGTGGGGAGTTATCTGTAGCAGATGTTTTATTTTACATAAACACTCTGATAGCCTGTCTCAAACTAATGTTCCAGAGTTTGGACTGGTGCCTTCCACTTGATTGGGAGTCTCATCTACTTAGGCAAGAACTGCAGTAGCAGAGTGTATGTCCATACTGTGTTTTGTTGTAAGAACAGGGAGGAAAGACTACCTAGTTACCCTAGGGCTGCCATGCAAGAAGGCAGAGTTCCTTGGAGAGATAAGAGCAGTGCACCTTCCAGGAAAGTAGTTGAGCATATGCATGGAAGTTTTTAAAATGTTGAATGAGGTCATTAAGGAGTAGTCCATGAGTAAGTGAGGCAGAAAAGGCAGGGAGCAGACTAAAAGATTTGTGAACTTGTTTTCAATCAAGTGGTAGATGTGGCATAGTCTGAGAGAGGCTGTGTAGTTTGTTGTGACTCAGAAAATGAAAGAAAGTTGCTGAATTGAAAAGCAAGTCTGCTGGGACATTGCGGGAGGAGGGAAATTTTTTCCTTAACCTTTTATTCTTAGCTTTCTCATGTGATGGTTACCAGTTTTCTCTACTTAAAAATAATTATTTATTTATTCTGCTGTAGTATTTTATGTTATGGTAAGCCCTGGATTTAGGGATTTTTAAATACCTAAATTCATGTCTTTTGATATGCTCAAATTGCTGAATAGGTGGAATAATTCCACTTTCAGAATCTGATTGACTCATGGACCTGTGATAGTTGTCTACTGCTGGAGACAGTGGGATTGCTCAGCAGGCAGACTCTTCATTGAAGAATTTAGTGCCAACTTTTTTTCAGTATTTTTCTTAAAAAATTTAGACATTTTCTTCTGTTCTGTCAAGTCACCATGGTCATCTATGAGTAAGAACTCTGTTTTTGTGGTCTACTGTATGTGTAAGGACCTACAAAATATTGTAGCTACCAAGGTCGGTGCTTGCCTTAGATGCATAAGAGCAAAGCATAATGACTCCTTCTGCTTTACATCATCTAACACTGTACAGAAAGGACTCCAAACAAAAACATGCTGAAATTCAGAGACCTCAGAGATAAGCTGAATTCTTAGACCTCAGCACTGAACTGACAGAGATTTGTAATGGAGAAAATGCACTTTTGTTGAATTTAGTTCCATTTTGCTAAATCTTCCAGATATATAGGATAGATACATACAAAAATAAATGCCTAAGAATGCCTTTTTGACTTCTGTGATGTTAGACTTGACAGGCCTATAACGTGAAATGATTTACAGACAACTTCAGGTGAATTGTTTAGATGGAAAAATGAGTTTTCAGTGATTATGAATATAATGCTGTGCAACTGATTTTATGTGTGTTATTGATAAGACCAAGTGCTGTCTGACAGTAATTGTATATTATTGATGCTATTTGTTAACATTTTACATTTAAGCAGAAATTACACAATGATGTGACTTTGTGCTGTTTCCATTATTATATGTTGCAAAAGCATTAAGCTTTCCTGGAGTCACTTTTAACTACTAAAGTAGGATCATGATGCATAACTGCTAAAAGGAGAGATATTTTGAAGAGTATAACTGTGTAGTCTTAGGGTATTGACATAGTATCAGCAATTCAGGATGATTGTTTGCTTTCAATTTTTGAATTTGAGAAGGAGCATCTTTCTTGAAAGTAATTGGCATTTTAAGGAAAAGATATATGTTAGTAAAGTTATGTGTCCAGTTAGTATTTGCATGAAAGTTTCCTGTTAGCTTTGTTCATAAATACAGTCCACGGCTATACTCAAGTGGAGACTTTCAAGACTTGGTAGGAAATTTACTTATTAAATTAATGGGTTTTGTGTAACTGATTTTCTTATTTGGTTTTGAATATCCCATTGTCAGTGAAAAAAAGGCTTAATCCTGCAGATGGTTAAACATATAAATAGTTCTCATGAGTACAGCCTTTATAAGATGACATCTAGCTACCTTTTTTCTTTCTAGACATTAAATGTAGCATACAGACTTTCTATTGACTGTCTTTCTAAAATGCAAGTAGTATTTCTGTCTTGGTGTGGTGAATCATATTGAGAATTCTTCTTGTGTTTTACAGTTGGAATAGATATTGTCTGATATCTACATGTGGTTTTATCATAAGTATTTATTTGTCATGATCTGATTTCCAGGTTCCCCTGGACCATCCAGTGATCATAGCAGTGGAGCTTCATCACCTCTCTTTGACAGTGGCTTACATTTAAATGGAAACTCAACTAACACGGTAAGCAAATGAGTAGTAAAAACATGGTGTAAGCTATGTAAGTTCTCTTCCCATTTTGAGCTTCGAAATGCTAGTGTAAGACTACCCTAATTCTATTGGTTGTTTACATGTTTGTTTGATTGATTTTTAAGTGCTTATACTGTAAAATTCCGTACTTAAAAAGTCACCAACATGGGGCCCTGGAATGCTAGGTTCTTACTCTGAGGCAGCTGAGAAGATTGTAGGAATGAGCACAGTAAGATTTATTCATAGTTTACATGAATTCATCTGAACTTTTGTCATACTTTGTTGAATTATAGCATTGTACTATTGAATTTAATCCAGCTAGAGATGCTGAAATGCACATGGAATTCAGAAAATAGTGTAAAGTTGAATTCTTGAGGCAAACTTTTTTGATAGGAATCTTCAGTGTCTGAAAAAACATATTTAGATATGATAACATAAATGCATTATATACAATAAATAAATAATAAATGGAAATATGCTTTTCTGGGCTGATACTTGTACTTTAGTGCTTGGTGTCCAAACTGGTCATAGATACAGAAAGTTTCATGTTTATTTGTTTGTAATTATCCAGATAATTATTACCTCTAATTACCTTGTACTGTTGTCTTAATAAAGAGCCCAAATCTGTCCTCGGGGTTCAGCATTTTGCAATGCCTGTCTACCAGGTGCTCTGTAGACAAAGTCCTTTCTGCAAAGCACTTACATTGTGAGAAGGTGGCTATCATCAGATGATTGCCTGTGATTGCATTAGCATGTTTTAGTAAATTATTGCCTATTAAGTACTAGAATGAATGTGCAATAACAATTTTTAATAATAATTATTACAGTACTTTGGGAATTGCACACTGAATTCTATGCATTATAAAAACAAATAAGTGGCTGGAGTGGTGTAGACTTGTAACAGAGTCATTTAGATTTAGTTGTCAAGGTAACACACAAAAACTTGTTTATAAGTTTGAAATATAAGTGGAAAACCAGAAAGTAAAAGGGACTACTAAGGTTCTAACTTGCTTTTATACAGCACTTAATTTTTCTGAAGCTTGACATAAAGTCACATGAAGACCTATGTATGCACCAGACACTATGACCTAGAAGTGGAATAAAGCAGAACAATCTACCTAGTGCATTGTAAAAGTCATAATCTCCCTTTGTAGTAAACAAAATGAAAAATTACCAGATTCTTATTGTGAAATACAAGAGCAAGGTTCTAAGTACTTTGAGCAGGAATGACTGGCTTTTGAGATGGTTGACTCTCAAACTAAGCTGTGAGTGTAACTGAGCTGTGATCACATCTAAAAGTGGTTATAAATGTGTATCAATCTAGTGAGTGCTTCTCTTTTTTTAAATTGGATATTTTCATTTTTATGGTAAAGTAAGAGCAGAACTGACGTTTCCTCTAACAGTATTGCCCAGCAAGAGTAATGATATTTAAATCCCTTTTTTATGTCACCCTGGTAGGGGAGATCTGACTCAGCCTTAATATTGCATCTTGCAAGTTTGTGTTGCAGTTGTATGTACCTTCCTAACCACACTCAAATCCATGCCATATTAGACAATGCATCTGTATTTATGAGTGGAAATGCTGCTTCAAATAGCACACAATGGAAAGGAAAGGACAGAAATGAGAGGTAAGGAATTAGTGTTATGCCAGTTTTACCAAGCTGTCATACAGCATGTCTGTTCTGAAAAACAATAATACAGAGGCACTAGACCTAGGTTGTATCATATAGACAGTACTTTAGCCATCTTAACAGCAAGCTCTTTCTGCCTAATACCATTATACCATTTTCAGTCTGGTGCTAGCTTGCCTCTGTTAGATCTGTCTTTATCACCTCTGCTGTGAAGCATCTGTTATATGTGATGTGATATCATCCTCAGGATTTATATACATCCTTTCTGTAATATCAGAGCAGTTTGCAGTATAGCACTTTAAACAGGGTTATCTGGAACCCAGAGAAATGAGCTGAAGTGCTCTCTTCACACCTAATTATTTTGTGCTTGGGCACTGTGACAAATGCTACAGGGATTGGCAGTGGCAATTATATTCATCTGTACCTTATAAGTGGTTTATTAAACACAATGTGAAATTCTAGAGGGGAAGATAAAACATACAAAGGAGGTGGTCTCTAGGCCAGTGAGTACAGGTTGTTTACCTGGAGCATTCTAACTACAAAACAATGAAGAAAATCCTGTAGAGATATTTTCCTAGATGTCTAAATATCCTAGACATCCAGGCCAGCTCCCTGGAGAAATTGGTGGTGAAAAAAAAGACCAGAAATAAAGTGAATTGCTGTTTAAGACACCATGGAATAGTATGACAGTTACAATGCAAAGGCACAATGTAGTAGATTTTCATTTGTCTGAGAATCCAGCTTCCCTGAATTATCTAAAAGTAATTTACTAAAAAGTGAAGTGAGAGCGGAGTAAATTATTTTCTGTGTTCATGTAATTTAAAAACTCTTAATTTAATTTTGATAGTATATTAAGTTTAGTTGGTTAGATGGAACTAAACAGGCACTTAAAATTTCCTGAATTGCTTTAAAATATTTTTTCTTCGATGCCTTTATTTCAGCTGCTAAATTGAACAGTTTTACTTTAAAAAAGGCCTACTTCACCAACAAGTGAAGTTTTTAAAAAAGGAAAAATACAAATGCTTAGCTCTTGGTGGGACCAGTAGAAGGCTACATCTTTAGTGTCTATGATAGTTCTGGTTCCAAAGACTCTATCCCAAGCACTGAAAGGCAGAAAGGAGAGAGGATAAGAGAAAGGGAGTTGGAGACTTCTGTTCTGAGAGTAAAACCATTCTGATGGATACTTTAGGGGAATGCATGACCAGAGCGTTAAACTGAGATAGAACGGGTTTTATTCTTTTAAATCCTCCTGTGGTGTCTTCCAATTCGGTATAAACACACTACTGATCATTCTTAAGGTTTATTTTATTCTTTAATTTTTATCATCCTGTAGCTCACTTTGAGAAATTTTAGTTCTTTTCTATTAGAATGGTTTTGCATGTGATACCGATTGCCTCTGCCAACTCTTCATCTGAAACTCCATGATTTTCTAACTGAATATGAGAGCAATGTAACTTCAAATTGACTTCCAGGTCACGGTGTGTCATTTGGTAATGATTTTGGTAAAACGACTAATGTATTAAATACAAAAAATAGCTCATTCAGAGTCTTCCATTTATTTGCTGAAGGGAAACAAAATAGATGAACACAGCCAGCTACACTTAAATAGTTTGGACTGCTGCTGTGCTGAGGACCTTTATGAAATGAGATAAACACGCTGCAAATAAGTGTGCTCTTTTTTCTCAATTAATAAAACATGAAGTGACTAACCATTTTCCTTATCAGGGAAAAATAATCCAAATTTTCTGTTTCTGACTGCACCTCTCAGAAATCATAGCAGTAGAAGCTGCAAAGAGCCTTTTAAATTACATCTTCCTGCTCCACTATTATAGAACTGTAAGGAAATGTTTTTGATATAGAGGATTGATATTGCTTGATTTCGATTTAGCTGTACAGAAGTGATGTGTTTGTCTAATTCTGATTAGAGTTGATTGGGACTTTCACTATGATATTAGTGAAGCAAATAAAAGGTATTTTTAAAAGTCTTACCTTTTAATAACATTGATCCACACTGTCACTGCTAATCCATTTAGCAGACTTATTTCTTCTAGTATTCATGAGGTTGGTCATTTCATATGCACAGAAATTAAGCACTTGTTTAATTTCCCAGTGAAGTTTAGTCAAATGTGGGGTTAGGTTTGGTTTGGGTTTTTTTTTGTTTTGTTTTTAACTGAGAGCCTTAACAAAAGGTGATGAAAGGAAATATGGCGTGGAAAATACAAAGAAAGTCTTACCTCATCATCATCATGGCTAGGCTTTGGGAACCTAGCTGCTGAATAAATGGATGCTGAACAATATTTGCTGATTTATGACATCTAATACTAGTTTAAAAAGTGCTCACTTAAACCACTGAAAATTAATCTGATATTCACACACCTGCAAGGAAGAAAGCTTGAATTTTTAAGCAGGGGCTGGACTAAATCCAAGTCTGTTTTCACTGGAAGTCAAAGACCAATAAAGGTCAGATAAAAGATTATGGCTTTGTTATTTATCTTTCAGAAAAAAGTACAACAGGATCACAATGGAACTATTATGCCAAGCAGAAAGAAGTAACTTGCATTTGTTAGGCATCTGGTTTCATTTTTTAATTGTACATATTTTCCCCATACACAGCCCTTGCATATGAATACATTGGTTCTTTTAGTTATTAGGAATTTGTTCATTTTAATTTGTGGTAGCAGCAAAAAGAAAACGGCTTCAGAGATAAAGCCCAATTTATTTATTTTTTTATAATTTCTGATAGAAATTGGTCCTGTCCTTTATCCTTATCCATTCCTTTTTTTTTTTTTTTAGATTACATGTAAAATTAAGATATTGAGTCCTTTGCTTACTTGATGAATTATAGGGAGTGATTCATCTGACTAGTCACCGCAAAATCTGCCTTTAGAGAGAGTTGTATTGCTCTGTATTGCTCCTGAGTGTATTAAGTACCTTTTATTTGCACAGATAGATAAATGAGTTTTGAGGAGTGGTGTTATTTTTTAGTGAATGATGCCCTTCTGTTTGACTTATAATTTAGGAGTACAGTATGAAAGCTGTACAGGAATTAAATTTGCATTTGATTCTTGGATAAAATAATCTTTTTTTTCTCTTATTATCTGTTCCTCTGTCTATACAAAGGTGCAAAATGGACCACTTCAGATCAGAGTTAGATTATAAAGAGAAGTTAGAAATTTAAAGCTCTCTTAGAAGCAAATGTGAGAAAACAAAATGATGGCGATTTCTCACCTGTTGCCAACATGGTGAACAGAAAGAGCCACCATCTTTCATGTGTTTCAGCAGGGAGCATCAGAAGTACTTGTTTGGAGGGAAATATACAGGGCAGCATTCATGAGGTTGAAGACTAAATGAAGAAGCTGAAGT